GTCCCCAGTTTAAGAACAAGTTCCGTTCCCAAAGTCTGTCCTTATGTCAAATTTGTATGTAAGCCAGAACAGTATTATTCTATAATACTGTATAAGTAGTATTGTGTATTTAACTCAAAACATTGTGTATTTACCTCAAATTTTGATGCAATACGCTCCATTCTTAACTATGGGTCATCTGTAACCCAGGCACTCTTAACCTGGGGACCACCTGTACTGCCTTTGAAGTGCAAGCAATCAAAACGTAAAGTTATATATGTATTTAAGGGGCAGATATTTTTAAAAATTACTGTATTGTCCTCACAACAGCCCCAATAATGAATTTTAAACCTTCACAAATAGCTGTTCCTGATTATTCATAAATAAAGCAATACAATATTAATTACAGTATCATTAATGCTGACATTTTCAGATCATAATTTATTAAATAGGCTACTATTAATGGTTGCACAAATAGTGAGTACTTTATTTCAAATTAATAAAAACTTAATAATCTTGTCGCATAATGTTTTGGGATCTATCTACAGAATGTTAACACAGCTATTTGAGTATTCTGATTTTTTAAAACTGTTTTTATTACTTGTCTGATGTTTTGGAATGATTCTCATAGTAGGAAAAATGGATACAAAATAAAAGACACAAAAATGTATTACATGTCAATTAAATTTTCCATTTAAAAGGAACAAGCATAATTTTAACTATAAATCTAATATTTACCAATAATGTAACAAACTATTATCAAAAGTTTCTTAACATTTAAAATGTTTAAAAAATTATGTCTATACCCTGTGACTATTTTACATCATTATAACTGATTTGGAAGCTAGTCTCTGAACTATTTTAATACAGTAATTTCTAATATCTTTTGGTGAACCTTTTTTCTTCAGGGAAGAAAACTGAATAGTTATCCCTTTACCATATTTCATTCTTCCAATTCTAGTACCTTCCAGCTGTATTGGAGCTCAAGTTTCAGCCAGCAAGGCCAACATTCTGATTTTTTTATTCAAGCCATTTATAGAGAGAAATACCCCAATACAACATTTTTAATTACACAGCTTTTATAAAAGGGTTTGTGCTGTCCAATATGCCTAGTTTTAGAACCTAAGTGAAAGACTTGCATAAAGACACCCAATGATAAGAATAGAATTCACATCATTAACACTGAAGCATTTGTAGAAAGAATTCTTAAATCTACTGCCAAATAGCTTGCAGAGGATTATGAGGTTTTTTTTAATTACTGTATTTATATATTACATGTTTTGAATCACCCAATAACCAAAGTATGCCAAAAGATGCAATTTGAATAAAAATATATACAATCACATTAAATAAAATGTCATGAAACTTTGGTAGCAGAGAAAGAGAGTATCATCCAGTGAAACATACAGAACAGCCATCTGCACGCAACTTCCAATAACAAGGGAAACTGGTTTGATGAAAGGGGGCAGGGAAATAAATAGTTAAGTGTAATTCAACTCATCTCTAAGGCATTAGGTAGGCAGGCTGATATAGAAGGATAAAGGAGGCAACAAAGTTATCATCATCATCATCATCATCATCATCATCATATCTTCTTATATTTAAATATTGATCTTTGTCCAACCATGGCAAGAATCCTCATATCGCCCCAGACAAAGGCTGTCCAATCTTTGCTTGAAAACTTCCAGCACATTCACAATCAGGAAATACATCCTTATAAAACTTCCACCCATAAGTTCTTGTCCCACACTCAGGCACTACGAAGAATAAATCCTCACCTCTTCCCTTTGACAACCTTTCAGTTATTGGAAAACTGCTATCATTGTCCACTTAGCTTCTTTAGATTCAACATACCAGTTCCTTTAATCATTTTTCATAGGATTTAACCTTAGAGACCCTCAACTATCTCTGTCCCTCTTCTGTGTAATTTTTGTTTTTAATTTTATCTCTAGAACAACAGAAATAGGTGAGATAGGTTGGGATCAGAGAGTCCCCCAGTGAGATTCCATGGCTAAGAATGCAGTAGAACCTAGGTCCTCCCTGTCCTAGTCCAAACATTAGCCATCACACTTTAACAACTATACTACACAACAGATTTTCATTTGATATTCCTTGTAACTTATGTTATTCAATTCATGCCCCTCAATAATGTACAATCTATTCCCCAATAAACCTCTGTAAATTTGTTTAAGAATGTTCCTCACTTTTATAAATGGGTTTGTGCTGTCCAATATGCCTAGTTTTAGAGCCTAAATGAAAGACATGCATAAACACACCCAGTGATAAGAACAGAATTCACATCATTAACACTGAAGCATTTGTAGAAAGAATTCTTAAATCTACTGCCAAATAGCTTGCAGAAGACTATGAATATCTTTTAATTAATGTACAGTATTTATTTATTACACGTTTTGAACCACCCAATAGCCGAAGCACACTAAAAGATGCAACTTGAATAAAAAATATATACAATGACATCAGATAAAATGCAGAATGAAAACGCCATACAAACTAGGCAGCAGCAAAGCAATCATTCAAAATCTTTAAAAATCAGTATTAAAACACAATTAAAAGCCAATTAAAAAACAGTTTAAAAACCTGTGAAAATAGAAAGGCTGGTGCCAAAATAAGGCTAATGTAGGCACCAGTTGAACATTTCTGCAGAGGCAATTCTATCACAGAAAAGCTCTGTTCCTTATAGAGAGCCACCTCACCTTCTTGGGTAAAGTGACCTGCACCTAGATATTCTTAAGCTATGGGTAGGTACATGTGAAAGGAAGTAAGCTCTATGCCAGGCACTTATACTGGAAAATACTAGACCAGATGGAAAACAAATCTATCATAAGGTGAAGAACAAGAGAGGTTTAAAGCAGATGCTCCTTAATAGATCACAAACTCATTATTTAACACCTAGTCAAAAAATACTCTGTAGGGCTGAAACGTTCTTTATATACAGCTTTTACAAATTTCTAGAGGCAGACTCTGGGACAAACTTGAGGATGCTGACAACAACAAATGACTGCACAACTCACTAATAAGCTATATACCAATACTTATTTGAGAGTTAGAAATAAATTGAATGACTTCATTCTAATTTGGTACCAGTGCAAAGAAGTGTTACACACAGTTCCACTTTGTTTTTAACCTCTGTATTAATACCCTAGTTAAGGCCTTAGTTCAGTATACCATCACTCTCTTAAACTGGTAGAACAAAAAATTCCAGTATTGTTGCATGCTGATGATGCAGGGCTACTATCACAAACTCTACTTGTTCTTTGGTCTCCAAATACTGTAGCAAGGAACACCTTCAAATTAACTACCAAAAGACTAAAATAATGGCATTTGTTACAAGACCCAAGCTACATCACTAGATTATCAAGAGAATACAACAGGACAGATTAAATGTTTTAAAATATTTCTGAGTAGTACTTTACTCTTCCAGAGATATGACTAAAGCATGCAGTATTGATAGGCCAAGGAGTACAGGTGCTTTATGGTATTATGTGCCCCAAACGCAGCCTTAATGACTGGAGTTTGGGATGCAGAAAGTTAAAAGCAGAGTTTTGATAGCAATTAAATATTATCGGCTAAAAAGAAAATTCTTTCCACTTGGCTTTATTCCATATATATTTCTTGATAAATTCCTAGATGAAGCAGGCTGTAACTTTAAAACTATGCTCTCTTGGACTTTCACTTTTAAGCTTTACTCACCCTAAGCTATGAGCAAGCAGTAATGACCTCAAGACAACTTATCAAGGATGTAGACCTTCAAACAGAAATTAGTTTCCAAACTGGCAGAAATTGAGTGTTTCACTCGCCCCCAGAGGAAAACCTGGCAGCTATCTCTTTTCATTTGTGTCCCCTAAATATAGAAGAACATTTGCTAAAGCAAGATTTCACTTGCTACCTTCAGCAGTCTCACAGGGTAGATTTAGTAACATCCCACTCAAGGAGTCATCATGCTTTTGCAGATCAGGAACATCAGAGAATATTATTCATCTGCTTTTATACTACAATTTTTAGACAGGAAATCATTTTAAGCTTATTGATCCTATTCTGCTGAAATTCCCAGGTCACATGGATTTATTTTGCATTTCCTTACTTTTATCAGATAAAGGATATTATATATAACGTGGCTTTTTTTCCCAACAGCTTGTAGTATTAGGCACAAGTTAACATCTAGACAAGACCTGGGCATTGTCTTATGAATGACAGTAGAGTACAATTTGATTCTTATTGGGAGAATATTGAATAGTAAGCAAGGAGTAGCCTAGAAATTTATTGTCTTTGTACTATTTACTGTCTTTATGTTACTGTTTGCAAATATTTTATTCTGCTGGCCTTTGGCTGTAATAAAGATTTACTTATTGCTAATATAACAAGTAATTTAATACTTTGAGAATGTTAACAGTAGACATTTAAAAATATACTTCCCCAACAATCAGTTCTAATATGCAATTTTCAGCAGGGAAAAGCAAAGACAATCCTCAGTGCTGTCTATGCACCAAATACTTTAATTATAAAGTGAAAAAACAAATTTTGTCTTTGGAGCATGTATTATCCATTTGCTTAATGTCATTGTGTCTGTTATGCACAATTCAACATTCATTTCTACATTCCATTAAGAGTGGAACAGTCTGTATCCTTTAAATGTCAAGGGTGTACTAAGCAGAGAAACAGTGCCACCTTATGGCTCCTGATTTTATGCTACAAGAAAAAAAACACACCTCTCAAGAATGACCAAACATATTCATGGCCATGCTTCTGTAAAAATGAAGCACTCTCAACATCATTCAACATACCATGCATATTTTTCCATATTGAAGAAAATCTGTTTTGCTCACATCATATTTATCACAAAGTTCAAAATGTGGGCTATATAATCTTCCATAATCATATTATTACCACTGCTATTGCATCACTGCAAGTTACTTACATCTGCCTAGACTACCAGCAAAACATACACAAATAATGAAAATTCTTTGAAGATTTAGAAAGCAATGGTAACAATTGTACAACTGTCACACATCAATAAAGAAGAAAACAAAGACATGCTGCAATTTGCTTAAAGTTACTTACACAAGTGAAACAATGTCTCCACGTTGTACCTCATAATTCCGAATACTCCAGTGGTTTAAAAGCACAATATCGGATACGTGCTGTTCCCCCGGATTCAGTGAAGGCTGAAGGGATTAAAAAAGTTTTAGCATTCACAAACAGAACGGCCAAATCAACTTGCATAACAGTTTCTTCTACCTGTGTCCTCTGAGAAGTCCAGAATTCTCACCAATATATGTTGGTTGGGAATTTGGGAAACAAGAGGCCAAGAGGTTTGCAAAGTGTCAGGCTGAGGAAAGTTGTTTACAAAATGATTAAAAGTGCCAAAATACATCACATGGGACATCCTATCTACTTGTAGCCCATGCCACTTTGCCTATGCTGTGCATGTAAACAGAGGCTGGGAATGTGAGGAAAATGATATATGAATATTACTATTCTGCAACAGTCAATCCATCCTGCTCATCTGATCTTTACAGTTAAGATGCTGAAAAGACAGTTTTGAAGTAGCTTAGGGAGAATTACTAAGGAAATACAAGAATTACAAATACACTTCATCTATAATAAATCTAGATGTCAACACTCTTTCATGTCATGGGGAATAGCATTGCTTGCATTTATAAAGTCAAGGCTATAGAACTATATAAGGGGAAATACAATGAGATTTATACTTATTACATGAAATGACATCTACTACCACTTTTCAAAATTCTGTTACGAAATATTAGAATTGCTTCATTTTTTTCTAGTCATAACAAAAACAAGTCATGATAAACAAATGTGGGAGATCCTGAGATTAAATTATTTATCTTCTTGGTCCTCCCCCCAAAAGTTTGTTTTTATTTTGCAAATTATTTCCATATTGCCTTTCGTCAATCAAACTCTTTTTGAAACCTAAATATTAACATCTTTTTATATCTAGGCCATCAACTGGACTAAAGACAGCTACTGTCAAGATTTCAACTGTCACTGGAATTAGCTCCAAATGGACCATGACAATTACACTGCTTTTACAATTTTCCCAGTACAGATGTAGTAGTACAAAGTGGCACAGCTGTCACACAAATTGTAGAATCAGATGCTTTTAACCAGCACAAAGCCTTAACTTCTCTATGGATGCTTGGGAATTTTGTTCATATTTTTAAATGAAGCAATCTAATTTGCAGTTCTGGGACTAATATGCAGAATAGAACAGAGGTATCTTTCAGTTTTCAAACGCCCTGATTTTGCAATACATTTCCCCTTCCGGTTAGTAACAAAATGTCCACCAAAAAAATGGGGGAAATATGTTTAAAAGAACATGAAGGTATATGTGTGTATGTGTGTTTTAAATAATAAATATATGGGATGACATGAAGTTAGGAAAAAATATGCAAAAAATATGCAAAATCAACAAGGCCTACAATTAGATCTACTAACCACAGTCATTATCATCATCAACAATAAAAATGGACATACTTCAGCCATACTGCATAAATTATAGAGAAGAAAGGAATCTGTCAAACAGTCTCCCTTTCAGGAATAACCAAAGAATATGGGGAGAAATTATAACAGTTCCATATTGGCTTTAATTCAAAAATAAAATATAACCACTGCTTCCAAAAATACTATCACTGAAAATCTTACTGAATCTCACTAACTGTGTTTTATAGTATAATCATAGGACTGAAACTACCAAAGACTTGATATTTAAGGAACAAATTAAGTATTTTTAAGGGAGTTATTTATAAAAGAAAAAAAATATTAATTTCAAAACAGTAGGGATATTATGCTGATCCTAAGGGTTTCCCTAACACATACAACAACATATCAGGTCATTCAAATGACTTACTTGTGTTTGGAGTGGAAGATTTAATAATTTTTGCAACACAGAATGAAAACCGACAAGCACAGGTTCATTCTACTAAAGCCCTAACCCACATTTTTTGGAATACTTCAGATTGGGAGTTTATACTTGTATAAGGCTACCTCTCTAATTTTCAACCTTTAGTTAATTTCATTAACTATGCCAAGATGAGCTCCTGTCTACTAGAGAAAAAAAATGGTTATTGTTCTTTTTACTGTACTTTGGCTGTTCTTATTTTCAGGAAATTACCATAGCAGATTATTTACAATCAAGTATAAACTGCTGAAGACTTAGAACACAACTAAGACGACACTGATGTGTTTGGGAACTGATAACTCTGTGGTTACTAACACTGCAAAACAGACAGATAAACTAGCGCTGCAAAACAGATATTCCATTTCACTCAATTCTGGCATATTAAATGCCTGACTTGTTAATAAAACAACATTCTTCAGAAAGTGTGCTGCTGCATTACACATAGCCTTGCTCAGAATATTAAAACAAAAGTGAAAATAAGAAAGGCAAACCATATTACTTGTTTTTTCTTTTTTTTTAAAGAACTTTTAATTTTGGGCACAGCATGAGCCTGGATAATGAGTACACAAAACCAGCTAGAAGTCTGAAAGGTCTATTACAAATCCAATTCTTGTAGATTGTACAGTGAACACTTCAAGTAAGACAATCATCGCACTGATGCAAGTGTGTTATCAATGAGTGTAAGATGTCATGCTGACTAAACTTCACTTTCTACTACGTCGTGTAGCATTTAAATATATTCAACAAAGAGAGATTTGTCACACTGTCCTTTCTCAAGCAAAAGAAAAAAAGAAAAGAAAATACATCGTTATAGGAGCATCTTCAGTTTTGTATTCAATATTCCTCTCAAATTATCAATTAATTGTCATAACTTTTTTTAAATAATCTGCACCTCAACCACTGTAAATGCTACTCTCCACATTGACTGTTGCTTTGAACATCACAAACACTGCCTTCGTCACTTCCTTAATAAAATGATATCGATATGCCTATACTGGAAGAAGGTAGCTTAGGACTGCCATTGCGCTTACTAGCTGTGTGTGTTTTAGCTGGAATATGCAAGAGCGCTTGAACGTAAGATTGCCCAAGTTTTGTCTGAAATGGTGCAGAATGACTAGAGTTGCATCATACAATCCTGCTGGTCACATATCTTAGGTTTATAATATCCAGTGGATTGAACTTAATCAGATCAACCCCGTTACAAAAAGAGACAACTGATCAGGTCAGCATCCTTAAGGAGTCAATCAGAATCCTTGAATTCCAATGAACTTAAGTTTCTTCCCTTAAGTTTCTCCCCAGATGAAAGTTATGATGCCTTAATGTATCACTACAATTGACATGCTCCAAGTAGCCTTCTCCATCAAGCCTCCACTGTGGGGTGAAAGAGCAACATTCAGCGATGCATGCAACAGGGGAAATAATGCAGTCCTTTCACATTGGAGCTCAAACTCATGCAAGATGCCACATTATTTCTGTGAAAGTGTGAGAAGCTCTTACACTAGGCTTCTCATCAACATTTCCCAGAAGCATCACATATGCCTCTGAACACAAGTCACACACATTTGTCAAAAAAAAGTCAGCACAAATATAGGAAAATGAATTCTGCATTAACACCTGGCTGAATCATTTATTTATCTACATCTCTTGATTCATCAGGAACACTGTGCTTAAACCTCTTTCTCTATTTATAATGCACCTCAAAGACACTGAAGTGCATGTTTCAAAATCATGCTCAATAAAATAGATGTACTTTATATTTCCCTCAAATGCAAAAAGTATTTGCCTTGATAAGAGCATTAGAAATGGCCATCTTTGTGATGAAAAAGCCTTTGCCATACAGAGAATATCTTTCTAGTGCTGCAAATTACATGTTTATTCTGCCTTTGAAATTGGATTGTCTCTTAGTTCTAATTCAGGCCTTCATACCTAAAAATGAACAGGGCAGAAAGGATCCTTGTTACCTGCATTGAAGCCCCTTCTACTCTCGCTATACAAGCCACTCTGTCGAGGAAAGTGATAGTCACAGGAACAGCCACAAAAAAACCTTTCAAAAAGGCTTTAATGTACTTTCTCCCAAAGGCTTGCATCTGCGTCATAATCTGAAAGATAAAATAAAACCACAGTATAAACTGGACTTCAGAACAGACAAATCACTTTCAAAATTGTTGAATGCAAAAAAATAATAACAATGATACAGAATGTGTGGGCTGAGTTACCTTTGCATCCTTCCAACCTTTAGTTCATTTATAGCTATTCATGTCAGAACGTACAGAAAGTTTACCAGCCATTAGACCAGTGTTTCTCAACCTTGGCAACTTGAAGATGTGTGGACTTCAACTCCCAGAATTCCCCAGCCAGCATGCTGGCTTGGGAATTCTGGGAGTTGGAGTCCACATGTCTTAAAGTTGCCAAGGTTGAGAAACACTGCATTAGAGTGAGGCAGACAATGGGCCAGATGCTGCTGGAAGGAGGAGTAAGGTGAATGTTGTCAATTCATTATTTTCTTTCTTGCCAATTGATTGCTCCCTAAAGAGCTTCCTTTTGAGAAAAGGAAACAGGTAAAAATTGCTTTTCCTTCCTTGAACCAAAGTTTTATCTTCATCTCTTATGCAGTTGGAAGGACCCTTTCCATTTTGTGCAAGAGCTACTCCACACAGTCTCATCAAACAATAGATAGAAAATAATTTATAAAATGATGAATTAAAGAAATTATCTTCATCTGCTTTCTAAAATAATCATTTAAAATGATCACAAAAGATTTATGAATAATGATGATTATCTAGTGCTGCCATGAGGACTGATATGCTGACCTGGCTGCTAGCCAGGGTTGTTGGGGGAGATGTTGAGGCAGCAGTTCCATCGGTCCAGCCTGGCATATAGGTGTTGGGGACTAAGGCCTGGGGGGACATCCAACTCCTCAGTTGCTGGGGGACATGCTGCTGGTCTGCACAGCTGCCTGTGAAGGCCAGAACTCAGCTGCTTTTCTTCTTTTACTCATTCCATATGCTGGCTCATAGGAGCAGAACAGCCACCAGGCCAGGCCACCAAAACCCATATGCCACACAGTACTATTTTGCAAAGTCAAAAATACTGTCAAGGGTAAGGAAGACAGACCTATCACACTTCCACTCCTTTAAATCACAGCTCAGTCCAACTATCAGGCTTTCCCCAGAATCCCGAATTAGAAAGTTCACAACCACAGAATCAAGGTCACAGCTCTAAGATATTTTTATTGCCAATACTAGAAAAGTCCTTAATAATGAAAGAAACTAGTTACTGGAAACTCAAATCATATATATAGCAGTCCCATGAGTCAAATCCATATCTTGTTCTCCTGGTTGGCATCAGTATTTCGTTATTTTATTGGGCCAGTCTGGTCTCTGGCCCTTTGTTTATCATCTTGGCAACTCTCACCCTCACACTAACCCAATCACACCAAGAAACTGAAGGATGCAAAGGCAACTGGGTTCAAGCTGAGACTACGCTAGGATAAAAACATCTTGCTTCAGCCAGTCCTTCCCACTATCATTTGGAAACAGCATGGCTCAAAATGTTCTCTTCACTCATTACTTAGCAGGGTGCAACTGGTTTCTATTATTAGCTCTTTCTTACGTTGCATAAATAAAAATCACTTCAGTCTTGCAGCCAACTGAAAAAACTAGTCTCCATTCATACAGAAAGAATCTTCTGATTCACAATAACCTAACAATTTTTATGGTACATCGTTTAAAAGAATTTCCTATTAGCATTATATTTTGAAAATGGCTGTTCTGCGTGAAGGATACTTGAATAGCAAATATGTTGTTTATCATATTAAACATTTAAACTAAAGAAAATCCTCAAAACTTTAACTGAGCATTAAAGCATTGAGCCTAAATGAACCAATCCCACATTGTGTTAATAACACCAATTAAACCTTAAAAATGAAATGGAGAATATATTGCCTCTAAAAATATTTGTACAAAGAAGTAAAATACTGGCAAGTTAAAATTATGATATATATATATAAAAAATCAAGCAAGCTTCTGTAGATTTCTTACAATAATTATTGAAACCACATCTCAAAAAAAAAAGCAAAAGAAATTATCTAACTTTGAAAACTAGCAATTTATGCTAAACTTCAAAAAGTTCTTTACATTATGTGTAAATTACTAAAAGCAGATGAGAGAAAGAGGGAGGGAGGGAGGGAGGATTTATTTTTTCAAAATAAAATTCTTGGAACATTTTTATTTCTCTTAAATATAATATAGCGATCCATGCCTAATTTGAGGTGTATAGTAATAAAAAGGGGCAACACAGAATAGCATATTGCTGGCCTAGCAAAGACCAAATGCATTAGCAAATAACAGGTCTAAATCCAAGGAAGCTCGTATTGTGCAGTTTAGAGATTACAGCAGATGGAACACAGCATTATCTGGACTGAAGTATTAGTGTACAAAGGTCCAGGAACTATAATGGGTCTCCAGTGGGTACTACAACATATGGAGCAGAGATGCTATTTAGATTGATCTCTACTTTTAAATGTTTGTTTTTATTTCCTATACTTGCTTGCACAATAGAAGACACTGCTTATCAAGCTGCCTGTAAAAATTCAAGTAATTCATCAAAAGCCTCAAGTCACACTGGTAGTCCTCGACTTACGACTGCAACTGGGACCGAAATTTCCATCGCAAGCACGACTGCATCACTTATCAAGAGCAATCCCTGCAATCCTGGTTGCCGTTGTTAACAGAATCCCATGATTGTTTGACAGAGGCAACTTCCTGCTGGCTTCCCACAACCAAAGTTAGTGGGGAAGCCACCCAAAGTTAAAAAGTCCCACTCCTACATGCATCTCAGTGGCTGCTGCTGGATGGGGGAGGGAGCGAGGGGGTGCACAGGAGTGCGGGGCGGGTTGGGGAGAGTGCATGAGAGGCATGGCACGGGGAGAATGCACAAGGGAGAGTTGAAGAGGGTGAGCAAGGGTGCGAGAGGGCGCGCAAGAGGTGCTGCATGAGTCAGGGAGGGGAGGGTGCACAAGGGTGCAAGGGGATGCATGAGAGGTGCCACACGGGTTGGGGAGGGTTCGCAGGGGTGCGAGGGAATGCATGAAGAGAGGCCCTGCATCAGTTGGGGAGGGTACACAGGGGTTCAAGCGGGTAAGTGAGAAATCCTGCACAGGTTGGGGAAGGTGTGCGAAGGTGCAAAGTAATGCATGAAAGGCACGGTGCAGTTCAGGGAGCCAATAGAGGCAAATATGTGTAGCTCAGGGTTGAACTGTGGAGTCCTTGGGGTTCTCTGAGCTTGGTTCTTGAGCAGAAGTTAAACTTTACCTGGACATTAAGGACCACTCAAGCTTGTGTCTCCACCTTGGCTACACCAGCTCCATCAAGCTTGGCACTGGGTACATACTTGGGAATCTGGAACACTGCCCTCATGAGTTTAGACTGTACTGTGTCTAGAGGAAATCACTGGGATATGGTCACAACTGAGCTTCACACAGCTCAGCAAACAACTCAGCTTCAGACAGTTTGAGGAAACAGGCACAAAACTCCCTCTTCTAAGGAGAAAGAAATAAAACTATCCAGGCAACAGGAAACCACTTCCATAACATTGCCAAGTAAACTGCATAGCCATAACCACAAGTTCAACCCAAAGGAGTTTTTATTTTTAAATAAAAATACCAGCATCAGGTTTTAACCACTAGAATTAACACGATCCTATTATCTGAGTAACAACTTAGAATTTTGCGTGTTTATTTCAGATTATAGAGCAACTGATAGAATCCAACTGTGTATATGTATGGCTTCCACTTACATACCAGGGGGATGACTTCTCTTTGCAACCCAATCTGAATCTTCTAAATCTGCTCTGGAAGCTTAACCTCCTAGATATACAGGAACTTGCTGAGACCATCTCATGGTTTGAAAAATGGGATAATATGACATATAAGTAAAACTAACATGTCCTAATCATGTGAATCTGTTTGGGATCTTTTTCAGCCATTATAAATTATTTGGACTATAAATTAGGCAAACTATAAATTACAGCTGCAAACTCTTCAATAATATGGTAATAAGCTAGAATAGGGAATTGTTTCATGCTTGGGAATTCATTACAACATAAATTTATAATGGGAAAATACTTCTTTAAAGCTGAAAAATATATTCATGAATATTTATTCAATAATGAACTTTAGATTAAAGGACTTTCCTAAATATGTCAAGTGTCTTAATAATATTATAATCAATATAAAAAAAGAATGTTGTAGTAGAAATTCGGAGGTGGACAGCCTATGTCCCTGAGAGTCCTCTTTTTGTAGCTCTTTAAGGCTTTCCAACTACTCTCACTGAAAACTGATAATATGGCCTCAATGAGAGAAACACATAAAACTATTGGGTAAGCCCTACTAGACAACAGGCTTTTTAGAAAAACACGCACACAAATTCCTCCCAAAATCTAGCTTTGGAGATCCACCCATTTTATATCCCTGAGACCCTGAAAAAGTTGTCTACGCTACAGTAACAAATGGTGCAATATGATAAAAAGCAAGGAATGGGTTTTAAAATACTCCCGGCTTCTTTGAAACATAATGCACTCAATTTTTGGCGTAGTTAAAAAATTAAGCTTTTTCAGTACTACAAAATTATATCCAATGAAACATGGCAAAGTGTGAAAATGTAAACCATTCGATTACTATGCTAACGTTTATGATTTCTGATGGCAAAACATAATATCACAATGTCACAATGATATCACAAACCTTCATTTGAAGACTACACTGTAGAAAACACTTATAAGGAATTATACAGAAACTAGAAGAAAGAATGAAACCATTCCCCCTTAGTAAGATTAAATTATATTTGAGTTCACTATGTCTTATCCACACTAAAAGTCCATCTTCCCTCTCCCCTCTCTCAAAAGCTTATGTTTACACTCTGGCATCCAACATACATTTAATTACTGACTTCATATTCTATGAAATCAAAATCATTATGTCTTTAGAAGTAGTTATCAACTGTCCAGAGTATTTTGAGAGCAGGTTAGGTATATACTTATCACCAGGGTATTCTTTAATCTACCCCCCATTCCCATCTTTTTCTAGATAAAGCTAACTCATCATGGGTATAAAGACCTGGCATTTCTCTTGCATGTATTCTTATTTCCCATATATTATTAAAATCAACCTACTTTGGTTTAAGGCAGGTCATGCAGGGGATCTGACAGATACCAAGGGATGTATATGCACATACACTGGTGTCCATGAATATCATGTACAGGATCCCAGGAATAAGGTTACCTTGCATGATCCAAAAAAGTAATTTCAAACATAAAAAAAAAAAAAAAAATCCTAGCAGCACCTAGCAGCAGTCTTTGTTTCTACAAGCCCATAGGAAATACAGTCAGATCTGACCTGCTAATATAAGTTAAAAATTCCCATGCTAGTTATGATTCCAGCCAGTTTAGAAAAGCACTTTTTTTTATTATTTTAGTCCATTGGAATTGTAGCAATAGGATTCTGGGCAGAAAGGTAGCACTGAAAATGAGTACTTTGTCTTGCAGTATGTTCATTGCCATTTATATAATTGTTTAAATTAAATGCATATATTTTATCTGGCTACATCTGGCATGTGCAAAGGGAGGCACATATATTGGGGATTCCAAAAGTTAAGTTGTTCCAGGTTTTGTATGTTTATTTGTTTGAATCAGTCCTGAAGTAAATATGTGAAAATTCAAGATGGAGATCAATATTGGATTTTTTTTTACAAAATTTTCAATTGTTCCATCCAATGGTGATCAAAGGGTTGGAGGATTGTTTTGTTTTTATATAAAGATTGAAAAGGCAACTGTACAAGATTATTACTGGCTGTTCTTCAGCTCTCACACTTTCAGCATTAATGGATAGTGCTTACATACTTCTGTACTGCCAGGTCTGAAATACTATAGAGAGATGAGTTGAACTCTTATACTCAACAGAGATGTGCGAATGCTTTGAAAGAGGAGTTTCACCACTCAAGGAAACACATATTCAGCAATTCTCTCCAGCTGGGTCTTTTTCCAGAATCAAGTGGCTTCTTCATCAGCTTCTCTTGGAAGTTCCCAAGGACATCCACCCCTTTTGCTTTGCTGGGCATGCATATCCATGGACAGACAGCCAAGCGCAGCTTAGAAAGCAGTCATACAAGCCTATGTACATGTCTGCCTTAATGAGGCAGAGATGCTTTATACCCTTTATCCCTGCATTGTTAAGAGCCTCTGTTGAAGAATTTGTACAGCACTAATAAATATTTACATACTTTTACCCATACAAAGAATTCTAGATGTCCCGGCCTGGTTGAGGGAGTTGGCTTAAAACTCAAAATACTGAAGTAATGAGTGAGGTGTTGGTTTGGACATGACAAAGAAAACCATCAGCAATGCCAATTTTCTTTTGTTCTCTTTTCACTTGCTGTGCTGTTGTTTCACAGCTATCTGCTACCAAGCTAGAAGAAGTTTCATTTTACTACTGTGCACTAGTCAGCCTCATTAATAACAACAATAAAAAGCTGGTTTCATTCAAACATGCTAAGCTATATTGTGAATTTTGCTTCATACAGGGAATATTTTTTTCTTACAAGAAGCAACAAATTCAGCCTTATGGTTTAAATCGACTAGGGACTTTACTACTATCAGAGACTTAATGTGATTTTTCTAAATAAGCAAAACTGCCTTTAAATAGTAACAATATGGCACCAAATTTTGACAGTATAATAGTAAGGAATTCCAGTGGCCTCAAAAATGAGCTGAAAGCACACTGGCTAGTTATTCACCTCAGCTTCACATATTATATGAAGGCTACAAACAATGGATAATTCAATAGACTATAATTAATAACATATGCTTAGCAAAAGTGCAAATCCAGCCATAGAGGTAACTTTATGATGTAGAAATATTACCTCAGAACTGTTAAAAATGGTGTTTAAAATGGTGTTTATTCAAAATAATATTCCCATTTATAATGGTTAAATCTAAGACCTTAGGCATAATTCCTCTACAGCAAAAAAATAGCATTTATCCCTGAAGACACAAGAACAAAAACACCATCCAAGGCAAAAAATACAAAATACTTGGACAACCCAAACAAAAAGGGGTTATAGTCAGGAAGCACTAGATTTAGCTTATGCTTTTTTGTGTTTAAATAACACCATCCAGCTACAAGATAGTCTAAAGCATCTTGCAGCACAATTCAAAAAATTACATACAGTGAAATATGTGAATTAAAATACCACTTTCTTCAGCAATTTCAGAGGTTCATTTCAGGTTATTTTGTGGTAGCTGTGTAGAAGTGCCACTTTCTTCCCACTTTTGCAAGTTTGAAATCCAACCCAAAAATATGGAAACCAGAACAGTTGCTGGGTACAGTTCGTTGGGAAAGAAAAAAGGTAAAGGAATGAAGAATATTCACATATGTGCTCCGTACATTCCTCTATTATTTGTTCTGAAAATCTAGTCTTGCTTCTTTATTCAAAAAGTGGAAGGAAAACTGTAGACATTCCAAGATTTAAGAAATGTGTTCTATACATGCTCAGAGGAACTTTTTTCCCATTCTGAGGGGATCTGACATTACACGAGACAGATGCACAGGACTGACTAAGCCAGAAGCAAACACATCTCACCACAGGTTTGCCCGGTAAGAAAACCCAGCAAATATAGTTTGTAAAACATGATTTATACTTTTACATTCTGTACGAGTCCGCAACTATAGCTTTTGCCTCCTTGCTTGCTCACCCTGGGTGGCCCACCTTGGAATAATAAATAAAACACTCCGTCCCAACCTCTTGCCTTTCAGATGCGTTAAAGCAAACGCCGAGCACGTCCTTCTCGCCTCCCAGCCACGCTCTGTTCGGCAAAGCAGAAAAATTCGCCGGAAATACCCGGGATTGGCCGGCAGCGACAGTCAGCGCGAGCAATCACGAGGCGGCGCTTCCCAGCTGTAAACTCTGGACGCTGCGTCGCTGCGTCTCGTCCTGATTGGCGCGGACAGAGAGGGGCGTGGCTAGCAGGAGCGTGAAGAGCGCTGCTGCCGATCAGGATGGGAGCAAAGTTTCAGGGCTGTAATTTGCAGAGGGGGGCGAAGGGCTTTTCTGTTAAGCTGGCGGAATTTTTGGCTTCCTACCAAGGTTGTTTTAAGTGGCAGGGGCACTCATGTTATATAAAAACGGGTTGAGTGGCGTTAGATTTCTCTGTTAAAACTGTCTTAAGTGGTAGAAAGTCACGGTTTCACACCCCAAACACTAGTTTGGCTTGGAAAGACTTCTCATTTTGTGGCACAAGCGTGGATTAAAGTTTCTGAGGTTTGTGATATCCCTAAAAACACTGTTTAGTGTCAGACATGGATGAGGAAAAGTATGTTCTAGTAGCTCTGCAGAACGATGGACAATGGAATGACTGAACCTCTCAGACTATCCCACTCACCTGAAAGTAAACCTTGTTGAAATCAGTGGGATGTAATGTGAAGCAGATGGTGTAGGGTTGTACTAGACATCCTTTCCCATCATCTCACAGTCCAAATATACAATTTTTCCTGATGTGGCTCCTTAACAGGAAAAGGCTTTTCCAAAGATATATACATACATACATATGGAGTCCTTGGGGCTAGCCGGGTAATGAAACGTTTGCAAGAAAAGAACCAAGCTTAGAGAACCCCAAGGACTCCACAGTTCAACCCTGAGCTACACAGGGTTCACCTCTATTGATACATACATATTTCCAAAGCCAAGAAGATGCATTCCTAAAAATATTAGAAAAGCCAGCTTCTGAATGCATAAAACAACTCAATGCAGTTCTAATATAGGTCACCCAGATAGTACTCAGAAATTGTAGACATTGATTTTTGTCTTCCATGGCTCCTGACTTCCATCATAAAACATTTAGTCAGTGCTAGCTGTTTTAACTGTTTTTCCCATTAAACCATAGTTCTTGGTACCATATAGTCAATCTTACTTTAATTCAGAAAAACTAAGCAGGCTCAGATTCAGTTAGTATTTGGTTTAACCTAGTCCCATGGTTTATCTTGGACTAGGAAGTTTATGTATATAATATATGTGTGAAACACATAATGATACCATTTCTGTATCCTTCTCAACTCAAATGAGTCTTTACATTTTGTGCCATTGAAAATTAAAATTTCATCTCAGGATCTATATTAGAAAACAATATGTGATAAAATCTTTAATATTTAGGTGTTATTGGACTGGCCATAATATAGAGTTTTTCATAAGGGAGAGTGGAAGAGCATAAGAACATAATATAGAGTTTTTCATAAGGGAGAGCGGAAGAGCATAAGAACATAAGCAGTGTTTTCCTGGATTGGAGCCGTGGGCCACCTACCTAGTTCAGCAGCCTGTTCTTACAGTGGCCAACCAACTGCATTAGGAAGATCACTAGTCTCCCAGCACATGGCCTTCAGAGGCAGTCATGCTCCCATCAAGGTGCATAGCCATTGATCACCAACTGGGAAACATGGGCTGTTGAAGGATGGGGTGGAACAATAGGAGAGGAAAATAGTATGGGGGATCCTGGAAGCCCAGAGGTACTTCAGAGACTGAAGTAGCATAGAAATCAATAAGACTGCATGACTGATTAACACTCTGAACAGAAAAATTCAACAAAACGTTTTGTTTTTGTAAGTCCCATTTATATAAATTTTAGTACCTACCAAAAAAGCCCATTCTTGAAACACATAAGCAAGTCAGAATCATTTTTCCCATGGATTCCAACCTTCACCTGGGGTTATCCCAGCGTGTCAATTTCTCATAGGAATACAGATCAAGTTTGAGGTTCCTTATCAACAACTTCCTAATATGACTTGCAGCCTTTAGAACAGTGCTTCTCAACCTTAGCAACTTTAAGATATGTAGACTTCAACTCCCAGAATTCCCCAGCCAGCCATGCTGGC